TTCCCGCGCCAGCACCCGCGCATGCGCACGGCGCTGGCGACAGCCTGTCTGGTCCCGGGCAGCTTTGCACCTGCCCGGGACTGCCTGCAAACGCCCGAGCCGTTTGCAAAGGCTCGGGACATAACACCGAGAATCTCGCAATCATAACTTATGCCTGTCAACTGTCCTCTGCCAGCTGCCAACAAACTCCAAACACAGAAGGAACAGGTGACCAGCAAACTTTAATGTAAAAAAAAAGTCAGCACTGGAAGTGAACTGCTCCTAGTACTTTACATAGACGTACCCCACCCACCAACCCCACCCCAACCAGCAAACCAGCATCCGGTCCGTATGGATAAAAGGCACAGTTCAACGCCCGTATTCCCCCCCTCCAGATGCACCCACATAGCCTCTGCTGTTCCAGCTGTCCTCTCAGGCAACTAGGCAGCACTCTGCCTCCTCCCCCCTGCATCCGACAGGAGGGAGAGGCAGCCAAGGTGAGGTATAATCCCCCCCTCGTTCAGCTTGCTTGGCCCAAATGTCCAGCCAGCGGTAGGAACAGTTCCGGCGTCTGGTTCCTTAGAGGGAGGCACCCACGGTGTCTGGTGGCCATGCTGATCCCAGCTGCTGGCAGGGAGCCGTGCTGACTCCCAGCTAATTCCCAGGAGCCGGGCCGACACGTAGAGGCTGGGCCGACTCCCAGCCGATCTTCGGGAGTTGGGCGGCACATGCGTTTCCACCGACTCCCAGCTGACGTGCACTCACTGACCCGACTCTCAGCTGGCTGTCAGGAGCCGGGTGGCATGTAGCGGCCCCGCTGGTTCTCTGCCAAACTCCAGACACCGACCTGACTCCCAGCTGACTGTCGGGAGTTGGACGGTGCTCAAGGCTCTCATACGGACATCTGTCGGCTGCTGGCTGCGTGCTCCCCATCTCCCGGCCCATGGCAAGTCCAGGGGATTGACAATGCCTACTTTCCCACATTGTAGATTACTGCCATGTGTTGTACATGAGGCTGCCTTTGAAGACCATGCAGAAATTTCATTTGGTCCAGTATTTGAGAGCTGGCTACTGACTGGCACACATCCATGCACCAGGCCCTGCATTGGCTCCCTGTAGTATTTGCTTCTAGGTGTACTTCAAAGTGCTGTTTTTAACTATGAAAGCATTACATCTCTTGGCACGGTGTTCGCGGGACTAATGGTTTTAACCCACCTAATCTATAAAGTGGGAATAGGGATTCCTTCACTTTGAAATAGCCTATCCCTGGGAATATGAACTTTTGGGGGGTAAGCATTTGTCATATGAGCTAACATTATAGGTTACTTTATTCAGCTACTACTATGCATGTTAGATTTCTAATATTATTTGGTTTTGTTATACAAATATGTGTAGTTTGTAGCAAACTGCTGAGAGTTTCTTTCACTGCAGCAACAATAAAATAATACTAGTATACTGGATCTAGTATAAATATTTACACGCAGAGTAGTTGCTTTGCTACTGAATGACAATATTGATTCCCATCCTAGTTTCTCACCCAAGTGAATTTAATTACATTTCTGCAAAGTTCAGGTGGCGGGTCCCAAGTTTGCTTGTATTTCCTCTTGTGAAAAAAAGAAGAATTTTGGCAATATGATATAAATGGTAGTAATGGCAGCATAAATCATAGAATTAAATGATCTGCCAAGTTAAAAGTTCATGCTAATTGTGGGAAAAACATCAGAAAAGGTAGTATACATCAGAGAATTTACCAACAATGGAGCTTGCACTTTAGAATTATCCCAACCTATTGCTGAGTGTGTCATTTATTTTGTTTCAAATCTGATCAGAGTAAGGTCATTGTGACCTAGTCAGGATTTCATTTTCCCTTCGCCATTTATGGTGGGTTGTTTGACTAAAGCAGTTATAACAATCTCTTTCCAAATCTCTAAAAAATATGGAGTTAGGAGATAATATGCAAATGTATGTTGCCTCTGACCCAGTTTACTTGTATGGAATGCTATGACCTTTTAAAGAATGTGTTGCTTTTTGCCTGCGTGTGCTGGCTGAATTCTTTACTTGTTCCATTCAATAGATCCAACAGACTTCAAGTGCAGAAGACTTATGAACAGACTTTGATATCATAATCTGCTTAAAAGATCTTTTGAATTAGAATAAATTAACTTATTTGACCAAAAACCTTATCTACATTTATTGCTGACAGGACGGCTCTTCTGAACATTTTGTGTAAAAATGAACTTGTGATTTATGGTTTTTATAATTAGACAGGATAGATTATAGAAAGAACAGTAATATCATGTAATACTAGGGACAGAGGTTAAAATATATTTGGATGTTTTGCTGAAAGCCATTTGTATTTTTCTTTAACTTTTCGTTTCTTGCACTTTAGAAATAGTAGTATCTTAATTATTTCAGTATGCAAATAAAAGCTTTCTTTTTACTCATTCCATGTCTGCACCTTTAATTCACACCCAGCTTTTAATGCTATTTGCATTATTTGTAGTATTTTAGATATTTCTTGAGTAGATAGTATATACTTTGGATGTAGTGTTACTGACAAGATAGAGGTGAAACTGAAATCTGCAATTTCACAGATTTTTATATTTGGTACTCAAGAGCATGCAAATATAAAGACGCTAGAATATTCAAGCAAATGTAACAGAAATTAGTTTTAAAATTGCCTCAAGAGTTCTCCAAATAGATCACATTCCAGTAAGAAAAAAATAAAGTTTGTCTCATAGCTTTAATTGGGACTTTTTTACACTACTCAACAAAGTTTTATCATGGCCTTGCCACTTACCTTTCTCAAAAATATTGTCCATTTTTTTGTTTATCTGAGTTTAGAAGATTAGGGATTGTATTTTAGTCATACAGCATTTGTGAAAGCACTGCTCTTTTAATAGGCTGAAGCAGAGGTCACACAATCAGTTTTGGGAAGAAATAAAAGGAACCGAAATCAGGAAATATTCATTTTCTCCATTTACATGTCACTTACTAATTTGACAGAAAACACAGTCAATATTTTATGAAATAGCACTGGTGAATCTAAAATATTTTTCATAGACACACATTGATTTTACAAATCAAGCAAATCACATTAAAAAATATGCACGAAGCATCTAAAACAGTTAACATGTACAAGGTAGATTTGCATTTTTAATGGCAGTTCTCTTTTTAGAATTCCCCAGTTCAAAGAAATTCAACAGTTACCATCATCAGAGAGAGTACAGAGAAAAGCAACAAAGATGATTAGGGGACTGGAGGCTAAAACATACAGTATAAGGAACAGTTGCTAGAATTGGGTATATCTAGTTTAATGAAGAGAAGGGCGAAGGGTAACATAATATCTCAGGGGCTACCATAAATAACAGGAATCAAGCTATTTTCCAAAGCACCTGAAGGCAGGACAAGAAGCAACCTAGAACTAAGGAGAAATTTTCTGACAGTTAGAACGATTAATCAGTGGAACAATCTGCTTCCAGAAGCTGTGAATGCTGCAACATTGGAAGTTTTTAAGAAGAGACTGGACAGCCAGTACCATTTGTCTGAAATGGTACAGGTTTTCCTTCCTGAGCAGGTGGCTGGACTAGAGGACTCTAAGGTCCCTTCCAATTTGATGATGATGATGATGATGTATAATGCAGATTAAGTATTAAGACACTTTAGAAAGTAGCAAAAACCCACAGCCTTTTAAAAAAATATTTTTTTCACACTGGACTACAGTATTCGAAATCATGTCAAAAAGATCCTGTTGGTTTACTGATTTTATAATGTACACTTTCTAACTCTTTATTATGATGATTAGATCTGCTTTACAAAGGGCTGCAGTCCAACACAAGAACACACAATAGTAATTTTCCTGGAATATTATTTTAATTCTATGCCTTCAAATGAGACTTTTTACAACTATCTGGACAAGTCCCTGAAATTTTCTTGCCAACGTTTTTCAAAAAGTGGTTTGTTCTTGCAGAGAGACAGAGAGATGGGCCCAAAATTACACAAGTAGCTTTTCTTCCTAAGGGAGACTAGAACACAGTTACCCCCATTTCTAGCCTTAACCATTACAGCAAACTGATTTATATGGTTTGTTTAATTTTAATTAAGTACCAGTTTTACGACTGGTTGACCCCTCAGATAAAGCCCCTTGCTGGTACAATGAGTGCACAGAGTAATGCTGTAAACTGATCCCCAAAACGAGCCCTACTGACTTCAGGAACGCTTATCCTACGGAAAAAGGAATGAATGCAACTGCAGAAATCAGTCCTGGATGATAGAGGTTGGGAGTGCATCGCGTTGAATTTACACCTGTATCTAGGGCAGGGAGCCAACCGGACCTTCCCCCTTTTCTCCTAGATAGGGGGGGGGGGTTCCTCAACCTTGGCAACTTTAAAACTTGTGGACTTCAGCTCTTAGAATCCCTTTGCTGGCTGAGAGATTCTGGGAGTTGAAGTCCACAAGTCTTAAAGTTGCCAAGGTTGAGGACCCCTGTGACCTAGAAGATCAAGACCTATCGCCCGCGGTCATGAAGGGAAAGCGGCTGGGGATTTTGCAATGCTAACATCCCAGGATAGCGCAAAAGAAAAGCAGGATAAGATTCTCCTCCAGATCTTCATTTCCTCTCAACAGAGAGAGGTTTTGTCTGACCCGCTTCCCCCCCTCAGTTTCTCAATGGGGTTTCCGCACATCCCTGCGGTCGCTGAGGATTTCGCGCTCTCTTTCTATCTTGCAGCGATCCTTGGGGAATGCAAGAACTGGGGGAACGCCACCGCGTCACCGCCGACCGCCCCAGCAGCGGGAGGCGGGCTCCCCTCCCTTCTACCTTCTCCCCCCAAACCCGCCCACTTTCTTTTTAACAGCCGCCTTTTCCTTACGGCCACTCTCAGGTTACTTGGCGGAGAGCGCGCTCCGATCGCCGGCCTGTTTTTGTTTCTCTCGTTTCTCCCCCCCCCCTCCACCCCGCCTCGACTCCGGAGCCACCCAGCGCCGGCGATTGGGCAGCCGCGTCTTGACACCGCGGCGCGCCGAGAGGGTCGGGGACGTGTTTCAACAGATGGTCGGGGTTAGCGTGTCATCTCGTTCGAGTGGGGATTAGGGGAGCCAACGGCTGTCGACCCGGAGCTGTGTGGTCTCCTCTTCCCAACTTAACCAGCCCAAGGTGCCTTTTTGGTTTCCGTCGCTTGGGGGGGGGGGGAGAGAGAACGGGGTGCGAAAGAAGGCGCCTTTTCCCCTCACGCACAGCAGCAGACGCTCTCCAGGTAAAGGGGCGAAGAAGGCATCGAACGAGTCCCCCCCACTTTTCTTCTCCCACCTTTCCCCCCCCCCGCCTTCCCCCCACTCCTGTTTGAATGGGGCGCGCGCGTGGTCCACTTGTCAAACGCCGCGACTCTGGCCACCTTCTCAAGACCGCCGTTGTAGAGCTGACACTTAAGATTGGGCAGCCTGAGATGCCTGCCTGTCCCCGCAGAGCTAACACGCTCCGCGACACGGCTGGAGGTCAGACTAGGGAAGGTGTTGATTGAGAAAAGTCTCGTGCCCGCGGGCAGGAGCGGGGGTGGGTGGACGACGCGTGTCTCCCGCGTGCACACGCTTCCGAGTTCATCTCTCTCTCTCTCTCTCTCTCTCTCTCTCTCTCTCTCTCTCTCTCTCTCTCTCTCTGAGCTTTCTGATGCGGAAAAAAAAAAGTCCAGTTCGCCACTGTTTTTGCTGTGGTGCAGTACATCTTCCGACTGCATGCACACATTTTTCCAAAATGAGTTATCCCCAGATATGTTTCTCTCTGGGAAAGATTCCTTTTTGGAGAAAGGGTAATATAAAGTCTGTTGGAATTGGCAGTAGAGCAGTGTGCGTTTGTTCTTTGACTTTGGGGCATAGTAGGGGTGTTCCTCGTAAGAAAGAAAAAGAAAGAAAGAAAGAAAGAAAGAAAGAAAGAAAGAAAGAAAGAAAGAAAGAAAGAAAGAAAGAAAGAAAGAAAGAAAGAGGGCTGAGCTGGTGAGGGGATGCTAGTGTCTTGGCAGAGCTTTCGCATCGATTTTCCAAGTAAACGAAGGGAAAGGCTAAAGACAGCAACTGCCCAGCAGCGTGAAGTAGCTCCCCGCGTAGCTGTGACACTGCAGTGGGATGTAATTCATATAAAGGTCTGTTTGTGAAAGTTTTACCAGTGGCTGCAAACTAAGTAGAATCATCATAGCGGTCGTTAAAATCTAACTGTATTTATAGATTCTAAGCAAGCTATCTGAATTGTTAATTAAATTTGAAAGATTGTTTTTAGTATGGTGATTAAAAAAGAAGCAGAAATCTAATTGGGCATGGATTCCTGTTACCTGTACTTCCACTAGATGTCTTGTGATGCAGAGATTTCTCTCAAGGTGTTCTAATACTACAGCTTGCCTTATTAAACAGGCAGTTGTATAGGATCCAAGAGATGCTAATTGAATAGGGTATGATTAGGGTAGGCATTTATGTGGGGAATGCAAAAGCCAGTGTACCTATTAATACGTTGCTAAATTATAATTCTCCCAAAATATGAATGTATATAATTCCTGCATTTTTTCATGAGTACAGAAGAAAGCCCATCACCTCTCCCTGCTTTTGTAGCTAGAATTCCCTGTGCTAAATGAAAAATTGGAAAGTTATTTGGGCAACTAGATTATGGAGATGGGTCTGTTGAATGTTCTTGTAATTCTGGCATTTGATTTTGGCATTTGATCAAGTGTCAAGAATCCATAAAGCAGCTTGAAGGAGAAATTTGATATATCAGCCTCCCCCCCTTCCAAATATATTTGTTGCCTTTCATTTTTGATGCATGCCATTACAAGATAATGTCTTTAAAAATAACTCCTCCAGAAGTGTGTGTGTGTATGTATCAAAAACTGCTAATTAGTTGAGTTAAATTATTAAAGCAAAATATTTAGTTTTCCACTCCACTCAAAGATGTGATGTAAACTTTCCTAGATTCTTAGGCTGACAAGAAGACTACTTGTAAATGTATGACATCCATGCATCAATGAGATATACAGAAACATAGTAAGTGGTTTCCAAACAGCTTTAATTTGGTAAAAATTTAGAATTTGATAACCACACGGTTAAAACAAGGGCATGAATGGTAAGATTACTAACCTGAAGTTTGTGCACTGATGCAGTGTAACTGCTGCTTGTTTTCTAGCTGTATTCCAGACAACTCAAGTATATAACCTGACCTTGTGTCATATATTTCAAAGGTAAGTCTCTTACTGCATGTTGTGCTAAGGCATGTTTTTTTTTTAAAAAAAAAAATTCTGTTGAAAAATGGACTGGCAAGAAATATGTTAAAAAAACAGATTACACAAAACACTAGGCTAAAACATAACTGCCTTGTTGATCAATATGGCTAGTCTTCTGCTGTTAATTCATCAGTCATAATTAACTAAAGGCTAGCATAAATAAAACTTAAGCCAGTACTCACATCTTACAGTTTAGCATATGGTAGCAAGGTTGGCACAATGCATAAAGTCCAAATTTAGAAAAATCCACCATGGCATAATAGAGTAAGCAAATCTAAGCAGTATATGTGATGAAATTTTATCTGATGCTAAATGTGCCAATCATTGCAACCTTATAATATTCTTTGCAAATTCCAGGATGCTGTATTTCTGTTTGATAGGACATAGTAGAATAAATTGAATGTGAAACCATCTTTTTACCTCACTGACCTGATGGGACTTCTTTAAAAAAAGGGGGGGGGAGGGAAAATGCCTCCAGCTCTTTGTCAAGCTGTAATCTAGGGTTCCAGATGGTAAATGTTCAAAGGAATATTTATGGCTACTGCTGCATACCTCTGGTTGACATTTGGTTCCTTCCTGACAGCACTTATGCTGGGCACAAACACATGAAGTTCCCATTAGTAACTTAACAGCTGTAAAACTATTCAGAGAGCTTAAAGGATGCTGCAATATTAGATTATTTCAAGAATAAGAAAATATTCTCAAATGCTAGGGAGAACCACTTGTGGCTGGCAAAGCTGCCAGTATGCAAAAAGAGATTCCAATTTCAATTTCTTTTTCTCAGTTTTGAAGCATGTTCCTTTTTAAATGAAAAGTTGAATATACCAAATGAGTCAAATGCTTTTATGCAGAATGGCTAAACTGCCAAATTTGGACAAGAAAAGTGTCAAAACACTGCTAAGCTTATTAAATGGTTTTAGATGAATTAAGAATACAGGAAATTGCCTTATACTGGCTGGGTTTATATAACCAGCTCAGACAAAATGTAGTTTGTGGCCAAACATGTTGCTTGAACTGTGGTGTGACCCTGACCAATAGTGGTTTACTTAGTAAACCATGACATAGTATATTGAAGGCAGGCACAGACTTAGTATTGGCTTGTTTTAGAGAGGATTTTTTTCCTATTTATATCTGGAGATGCCAAACTATTGACATGACTACTGAGCTGGTTTTTTTCTAGGTTAATAGGAAGCTTTATACTTAATCAAATCATAGCCATCTGGCTATGAAAAGTAAAAGGTTTCCAGGCTTTATGAGATTTTCTTTCCTCCTCAATACTAAATAGAAAAAGCTGACACTGATGCTGTGAAGACAAATTTCTTGGCTGAGGAATAATATGATATGAATAATGGAGTGATCGTGGGCACGTCTGGAAAGAGTTGAATTGAACTAAAAGAAGCTTTTATATCTTTTTTATATGCTGGTTTAGGATTTATAGTCTAGCGTCCTCACTTGTGATTAGATTCAGAAATGTAATTTAATTGAACTAAATAGTAATTCATTTACCAGCTCATTTCTCCTTCCCTACCTCTCCTGCAAATGGCAAATGCAGTAACTTCTTTGAGGCACAAGTACTTTGATGTACATTCACATCATTGTGTATTGGTTTATTACTTAGCAGGATATCTCTCTCCTTTGTCAAGATAGAGGAACCTGGTCTACTCATCATATGTTGCTTGATACTTTTATGATTTGAGCTTTTTATTAGCCTAGGTAATTTTTGCTGAATAATTTATAAAAGTATATGTACATTTTAAAAATGTGCTGAACCAGTGATAAAGACATGTCATCTCATCTTGTCAAGTTTCTGAGTTTCCCTAGAGAACTTGAAAAGAAATTATTGGCTCGTTTGAAATAGCAGCAGATATTGGAAAAATAATTATATCAAATTATGGTTTTCACTCAGAGTAGGAATTAATGAAAAGAAATCATGAAATACATTGAAATGTAGTGGCTTAGTATTTTCAAATATGGAAGGTATTATATAAAACCAAAGCTCTCAAAGGAAGTTAGTCAGCCATGGGAATAATGATTTTTGAATCATTTTCAAATACTGTTCTCACTAAGTCTTATATTACAAAGGATTTTAAAGACATCATTATCAATGTTTTGAAACTTGCATAGTCACAATCAAATAGTTGTCTAGGCAGATCATATTTTGCTTTTTTATGTTACTACTGGGTGGTAAATGGATATATTGGTTGTTGTCCAGTTATGTGCTTTTGCTAGTGAAACTAGACAAGTTGATTTCAGCTCCCATCCACTCTCAGGGTCTGCAGATGTTCTTTCATCTTTCCAGAATAGATTTTGACAATGTGAAGTGTTAGGCAGATTAAAAATCCATCATGCTCATGCAAGTCTGCTTGTGTGATACTGGATCCTGTTATATTATTACAACATTAAACTGGATTATTTGTTCTGATTTCTCATGGTTTGGAAAATAAAAAAATGACTTCTTGATACCAAAGGATTTATCTTTGGATTTACCACATACTATGCTGTAAGAGCTAGCTTTGTTCTCTGACTACAGTAGAAGCAATGTCATCATCCCTGATGTTTAGTCAAAATGCCATAAGCATGTTAAAGGAATCCAAGAAGATAGGATAGTGTTGGTATTCAGGGAAGCTCAAAATGCCTGCATTTGCTGACCTTTGTTGATAATATGCTGCTTTACCCTCTTGTTGCAATGGAGAAAAATACAACAGCAATAATCTACAGACTAGCTTTTTCCAGCTACACTTAGAATTTTCAGGCATTTATGCTGTCTCCTCACATGCACACACAGGTTACTACATGGGATGGTAATGGGGGAGAGAATATTTCACTAATGAAATACTTTAATAGTTGAAATTCATTTAAGCTTAAAACAGCATGAACGAGATGTTTTGAGATTTGTAGCCAATATCTGGCCTATTCCTTGTGAGCATGATTTTTTAATAAGCTTACTGATGTTGAGCAGTTACCTCATTTTCCCCTCCTCCCATTTAATTACAAAATCAGTTCAAAACCTTCACAACCCAGTATTATAAATTGTGTTGAGAAACTGAATGGTAAAAACATTAATACTTCGTATCTCAACAGTAACTTCTTTTACAATACTCTGTCTACTAACAAAAATCACTGTGCCTTATAAGTACTTCCTAACAGTCAAAGTAGTTAAATAGCTACTTTTTACTATTTACTAAAGAAGATGATTGAGGTGATGAGCTGCCATTTATTGGAGATATGTTCAAGCAAATGCTGACAACCTTCAAGGGTCTTTAATTTGGATGTCTGAATATAGCAGGGAGATTGGACTTGACATGGTCCTTTCTTATTTTGTGCAAGGAAATATAGAATATTTTTTCTTTAGTATGTTTCTATGAAATCAAAATTTATTAAAAACGGTCAAGTTAACAGTTACTAATTAAGAATTGTAAACCACATTTACTGCCTATTTGTCAGACATGAACCACCTAACCCACTCTTGCAGAGTTCAAGCTAACTATTTTATTATGTTCTGTTTATAATACAGGAATTTCCCTGATCTGGCAGCCTCTTGCGAACAATTACATAAGGCTTCCAGGAACTTGGGGTGGGAGTGGGGAGTTGGACCTATCCCTTTTGCAGTTGTGCAGTGGCTCACTAACTTTGTGTTTGATCTTTCCCCCCTACCAGGTTGGGTGGTTCCCTATACTCTTCATGCTAGCTTGATTTATAAGTCACTTTTCAGAGTGAGATGGATGGCATAGAAATTTATTAAATAAATAAATGATAACGTTGGGCTTTGGTAGGGTCACAACTTATTATACAGTGAGATGCATATTACCTCCTTATCATTGTGTACATTTGAAAAAAAAAAGCCTCATAGGAATCAGGTGACTTGCACCACAGTTTGATTAATTTAAACAATAAAAACTCTCCTTGTTAATATGGAGTAGGATACTTATATAGTCCTGAAAGCATTTAGTGACGATATGTGAATGTGTAATTCTATTAATTATTACTCTATCTGAAGTGCTGAATTTAGTATCTAATAAATGACTAAAGAGCATTTTGCCTTTAGGATGTTGTCTATTTAAGAACTGTCCAAGAAGCACAGTCACATCTTATAGACATTTTAGGATACAATTCCTATAAACTTCAGTTATACTGAGTAATAGTTTTGGATTATTGGAATTGTAGTCCAATGCATCTAATTAACATCAGGTTGCCTAATCTTACTGTAAATGTTTCTCTGGCTAGAGACAGCTTATCACACAAACAGTGCTATTGCAGCTTTTGTCAAATAAAACCCACCTCATACATTTATATTATCATTAGACATTCATCTCATGATTGTAATATAACATTTCCATATGCAGTTTTAGAACAATTTAATTGTAGCAGTTGGATGGTTTAATATACTACGAAAGAATGAGAAACACCACATTTTCTGGAGAATCTGCAAGTAATAAATTGATGGATCGATGTGTTGGTTATAATTTTATAATTTTTTAAAATAACTAATTTTTATAATTTCTGAACTTACTAAAATGTATTGACTTTCTATGTGCTAGTTAAGCTTTATTCATCTTTGCTAAAGAGCATTGTTTCCAGTTTCAAAACTTAGGGCAAAAAATAATGATAGTATTACAGTAGTTTTGTATATTATCTGGCTACCCATTGTGGATAAAGTACCTTAAAGCACTTTGCTGGTCAAAAATATTAGATTCTTATGGAATAATCACTCCAAAAAAATGGGATGTCAAAACTGGCTCCAAATTTTGGAGTTGCTGAGATACAGCTGAATTATTTACTTTCTATTTGTCCAGTTTGCATTATTTCCTATAAGAAGGCAAGACAGGTGAGTGCTGATGTTCCTCTTTCTACTACATATAATGACCCCATAATTGGAAGAAACAGGTGAAAGAAAAGAAACAGAATAAAAATGATAGATCAAGATGGTAAGTCTGATGTGGTATGAATCCTGTCAGACAACTCAGATTATAGTATGAACCATGAAGGAATGAATATGTTACAAAATGTTTACCAATTGTAGTTATTAGTATCCTCTCCAAATCTCTAATGGAGCAGTTGCTCTTCTTCTCTGTGCTACTGAATCACTGAGAAGAATGTCTTACCCATAGCTATTTTCTGCCATTAGCTATTGTATGTCCTAATACATGAGATTATTCTTATGTATTATTATTAATTATGCATTATTCCTAAAGAAGAAAGTATACAGGTGGAAGTCTAATATCTTAAAGAATAACCACAAAAATAGATATTTCACATTAAGAAATAAATACTTTTTTTATCCTAAACGCATGTGTTTTAAAAAAGCAAACAATTAAACAAGCAAAGTATTAATCACTTTTCTTCAATTAATAACCCAATTAATAATCAGGGATTACAGGATTGTAGAAAAGGGAGTAATAGTGCCCCAAACATAAACTTACTTGAGCAAAGAAAAATAAAGTTTTGATTCTTTTGAGATCTACAAATCTTTTTCACAATAACATAATTGAATTCCACACACTTTCATGTAAAAATTGAAAAGTAAGACTCAGATACTAAAACAGAAGGGACAAGAGAAGTGCTACAGCATTTCTTGATACTGTTTTCTTGATACTGTCAGACCTTTTTCAGTTGCCCAGGGTATTGAAGATTATTCAGTCCCAAATTCATTACAAATGTAAATTCTCCATTTCAATTACTATGGAAAGCAATTGCCAAGATGAAATCATACAGCTGTGTGTTCATTAATTAGTCTATGTGAAGATTTGAAAAGGTGATTTGCTTCTGTTAAAACTTTGATGAAGCAGCTCATCAGAGATAACCAGCAGAGGTATCCAGAGGTATCCAGCATAGAAAAAAAAAACATGTTTGGTTAAAATGAACTGGCTAGATAAAATAGAAGTATTGAGATGGAGCTCTGTTTTTTTGTGACATGGAATTGAAGAGGATCACAAATTAAGACCCACCTTCGTCAGCTGTAATAAAAAGGACAAAGTAGACATACAGCTAAGGAAAAAAATGCAAAAGGTCCACCTGGAGGAATGTGGTAATTAACAGAATGAATTTATTCTTTTCTCTTGCTCTTCAGAGGAAAATACCTCTTCTACAGTTGTTCTTTGTTTTATGGGGAAATCTCTCCCAATTTATATTTCAAATTATGTTATACTGGCACTAGGATCAAACCACATCATCTTTATGTATTTGATTGGTTTCTTGCATAAATAGGTGCACATATGGTAGATCAATTATAATAGCTAGAAAATACCTGTAAAATGGAAAAAGTACTTATAATATGATAGTTTTCTTTGTCATTCTTAAAACTTGAATAGGCAGTACTTATTGGCTGATTTTTAACTCATCTTTCAACTCAAATATCCCACACTTAATTTTTTTTTATTCTTAGGTCCATCGTTAAGTTATTATAACACACAACTTTGAAATAATAATTCATTGAAATATATTAAGCAAATAATCAGTCTAGGTAACCGATGCAGAATTGCCTCTTTTCCCATAAATAATCTTTGCAATTGAAATTTGAAATTTGAATAAGGAAGGCTTAATTAAAAGGATATTGAATCAATAAAAGGAACAATTTCTGTAGTACTTTTTGAGATGAGACGAATTGTGGTATTACAATGCTGAAATGTCTAAAAATGTTCATTTTTAATGTATAGATTATTTGGAGTATATACTCAATCCTAATAAAAGAAAAAACACAAATTCCTTTAATTTTAAAGGATATGCTTGTTCATTGTATTCTTTAATGTCTGACAGGACCTATGGAAAAGTTGGTGTTGGTTATATGCAGAGAATGCCCAGCTTTTTCTGTTTGCTTCTTGTAAATGCCAAATGAAGTATGAAAGTCCTGAATCATTATTTAGGCACAGGACTCAGTCCACAGGACATGGCTTGGGTTAAGAGTTTTGATGTTTGCTTACTGGGCCTTTTTCATAAAGGTTTAACTGCTATCTTATTCACATCTAGATTGTACTATTGCAATGCACTGTTCTATAAGAGTTTCCAGAAATTCCAGCTTGTGTACTGCAGTGGCTACAATGGTTTTGTATTAATTTCTTAGAACATATTATACTAATACATTTCACTTGTCTTGGCACAAAAAATGTTGGTTATTACATGTGAAGCTCAAAATATCCAGATTATCTGTAAGGTTGCCTTTCTATGCACTGTAGTCAATATTTGATATTTTGCTATTTGTTTCAGGATGTTTAGAGATGCTGAGGAGATATTAGAGTAATGGGTTTGATATTTGCTCCATACTTAAAATTTCAAAAAGCTGTAGAGACTGATTTATTCTACTGTATTTTATGTTGAGAACTTTTTGCTCTGTAAATGCATTTTTAAATTGATTGGTATTTCTTAATGCAATTACTTATGGGCTATGATTTATGTTGGGATTAGCTGTATAGGCTACTATGTTCACTGATCATAACCTGTCTTGCTATGCTGCTCTAGTAATTGCCAGTTACTTTCCTTCTTATGAGTGAGTCTTTCTGACCTACATGTACGCTGTATGTGTATACAGTAGGCATATGCAGTTCTACTATTTTACCATATTTTTAGTCACTTGAGATAGAAAAGTTTCAAGCCACTCTCATCCAATAGCCTGGAATGAAAAAGGCCTATTCTCATCTGGCAAATCTACTTTTGATGTCAGATTTTCAGTCCAAAACTTTCATACATATCTTTTTTATACATCTTGTTGTCTGATATTTTTTTTAAAAAAGTTAATTCTTAAAATTCTTATTTATGGGCATTTTTTTTTCTTTCCACAGTTGATTGCACACTGATGAATGCTGATGTTTGATGTTTGTTTCAAACTACAGGCGAGGTAAGCAAAACAATTTTCCTAGAGAATATTGGGATTTGATAACATATTCTGCATGCTATGAAATCAGGGTTTTTCTTAAAATTATAGTACCAACTTTGCATATTGCTATATTTTATTCATGCTAGTGGGTGGAGAAGAGCCTATGGTTAGGAGATGGACACTAACTTGCAATGGTCATTGGGGATATGAGAAAACATCTGGAAGTACTAACTTGGGAAAGGGTATCTTATGGCATCCTCATCTTAGGTGGCCAAACGTGGTCCTTCACTTCTTAATTTTATCTTAAGAAATTTATTTATTCTGGTTATGCTAAACTTTCCATGCACTTTGTACTCATAGGATGCTGTGGAATACTATATGACCTGACTAGGATGCACAATTCGTTTTACCTCTTCAAATGAAAAGCTTCCAGTTAAAAAAAGCCAAAGCTGGTAATTGGGGAAATATTGGTGGTGTAGTTCATTAAATTAAGACTCTTGAACATGTATCCACTTACCTTAAGCTACTCCTTCAATATTAAATAACAAGTGGTTATTAAGATATTTGGTTAAGGCTACTACTGTCATTGAGTGAATTAGTTTCTTACTGTTTAGACCTCAAGAAATATATTGCAAATGTTCTACTATTATTGTATTAATGTAAAAGTGGCAGTTTTAATTGATCTAAATGAATCCACATTGAGGAAAGTTGGTTTAATGCATGCTTTCAATTTCAGAAGAAACTTTAAGGCCAATAGAATAACAGTAGTCCTCAACATACAACCACAATTGAGCCCAAAATTTCTGTTCCTATGGGAGACAGTTAAGTGAGTTTTGCCCCATTTCCCAACCTTTCTTGCCACAGTTGTTAAGTGAATCACTGGAGTTGTTAAGTTGCAACATGGATATGTTCATAGGAAAAGAGAAGATTTGTAACTGGGCCTGAGAACTTTCTGTATTGCAGGTGCAACACTTTAGTATATTTGGGTTCAAATGGAATAGCTTGTCTTTCTATAATTTTCATGTCCATGAAAGACTTATTTACTTTTTGACTGATCCTTATATGTCTTAAAATACTGACTTTTTTAGTATTTAAAACATTTTGTTGAAAATGCCAATGGAAAATATCAAGCAAACAATTGGCAACTGTATGTTAAGTTTATAATATACTGTTTGAAATATGAATCTTCTTGAAGGGCCATAATTTTTAATAACAAGAGTCATGTCTTATGCAATGCTTATAGTTGAGTGTATAATGAGAAAAACTAAAATCTGCTAGAAAGATAAGACAGTGATTGAGATGCTTAAGTACAAAGAAAGTCTTTGTGTGTGTTAGATGCTATCACAGGAATCTTCATGTTTTGGTATTTGGACTTGAATTACCATTACAGGACTGGCTTCTGATTTATTTTCATATTTTTGTATAGTAGTTTTATATTATGCCAACATTCAAGTGACCGCGTAAAATCTTATGTATCTCAGCAATAAGAGTATAGCCATTCTCTTGGAGCATACCTCAGTTCATTAATTTTTAAATGAACAAGAGAAATACAAGTACCCCCTTTGCAATCTAAACATATGTTGAGGATGCCACGGAATACAATAACTACAATTTTAATTATATAAGTATAACATATACAGTATTTTTATTTTATATTTAAATTTGTCTCCTGTCCTAAACAGTGTGTCACAAATATTGCTACTCAGGAAGTTAAGAACAATTTTAAAAAGCTCTATTCAACTTTTAAAAAGTGCACAACTATTTCACCAATTGATCTACATATTGGTTACAGGACATAAAAGGGAGAAGAAAGGAACAGGGAACTGGCAAAGATCTACCAGTGCTATCTGTACTAGTGATATCCTTAGTTGAATCACTAAATAGTTTTTTTTCTTTTTATTCTTTATTTTTACACTTTAGGCAAAAAATTTTTTAAAAAAATCTTATAGAAATAACAGCATCTTGATCCCCTTAGCAGTGGCTGGCAATTGATCAGATATGATTACTTCCCATTTGACTGACCATCTATGACTATGCCTTATTGGTGGATGTAGAAAATATTTCCTCTAAAGTAGCAGCTGATTTGGTAAGTTGTTTTCCACAAACATAGCTTGAATATCATCCACAGTCAAGTAATTATTCATCTAGAAAGTGTTTATTGAGACCACTTATATCCATTTATTCAAAACATAGAGTATTACCATTACCAACCACTTCATAGAGAAAACAGTTTCAGGTACTTGTTAATGGGAAGTAGGTTTATTTTAAAAACTCTCTATACCTGATAGAACTGTGGTCTATTTTTTTTTAAATCTTCTCTAACTAGATATAGTTAGAGTCTGGCCAATATATTCTAATATATGAATGCCATGTTCTGCTGGAAGTTCCTGTACTATGGGGCGCTGTGAATAATCAAGCTAATTTGTAACATATGAAACCTAATAAAGTCATTATGTGCTGCACAGAATTTAGTGTGGACATAGTAAAAATATTGTTTGGAGTTTTGAAGTGTACAAGTGTAAAGGACAGACATGTTAAACTCTTGTATTAAACTGAATTTATTATTGAATGATGTCATTCATTTTTTGATAAATAGAATTTGAAATTTCTCAGTATTGATAAGGTGAGAATATTTTTAATTCTATGAGCTACAATTATGTTTCCCCCCAAGGTTGTATTTGCTTATATGATGCCTTGAAACCAAAGGAGAGACAAACAAACAGGACTAAATCATGTGAGTCATAAAGCCCTCAATTTTCCTCCAGTGCTGCACATTTTTAAAAAACATTTTTGGGTATCTCAAACTGATTCAGATCAAGATTTTTGTGTTGAATTAGCTTCATCCCTGAGTCATTAAAACTGTGTTTAGCACTTCGGAAAATTTGAAATATAAATTTTTCAAGACTGGTTACTCTGATTTCTTGTACCACAAATCATATATTTTTCTAATATTAGTCTGTGACATATTTTCAGTTTTGTATAGAATTCAATTTTTTATTTTACGGTAAAAGATACTGTATTTTTTACATCCAAATATGATTGTGCTTCTGAAGCTGCTTAAACATCCGGTCCATATTGTTTTACTGGCATATGTTTTAATTGTATATAGTGCCAAGCAATAATGCAAAGATTATATTTAAAATGTAATATCTCAAGATTCAAAAAAATAGCTCTCAATAAATAATTCAAGGTATTAATCCTTTGCTTGGCCCAAAACTTCCAAATAAAACTTTCCCTTCCTCTGTCTTCAAATTAGGATTATTCCATAATGTCATTATGTCATATGAATATGGGTCAGAGGTTAACTGCATCCCAATTAATATCTAAATATATTTAGCAAAGCTGGGAGAATCAGACTTTTCTTCTGAAAACTGACCTACAAACTTTCCAGGATTTGAAAGAAGTCACACATTAGCTTTTCAAATTAGCCCAAAGTAGGTAATATGTCTTCATTCCATAATAAAAGCCCATTGATAAACCTAAATTAGCTACCATCATCATAAGGCAACTTAGTCAAAGTAAATTGAGAGGCCTTGTCGTGATATAATTTTTTTCTCAATATTATAGTTTATCACTATATATTAAATATCTAAATGAAATTAACATCAATATTCTTCTTAAAGTGTACCTCATTTTAAATGCTATATACAATTTGTTGCATTAATCTTACTCCAGAGCAGACATGTCAAACTCGCAACGTCACGTGATGTCACGCGACGTATCAGGACTGTTTTGCCATTGCCGGCAATGGGATGAGCATGGCTTCCGCGTGCTGCATCCGGCCTGTGGGCCAGCAGTTTGACACACCTGCTCCAGAGGCTCAAAGGTAATTTTAACTGATTTATATCCAATACAATCATATCTGTGCATTTAGGTATAATTCAGCATATTTTAAGATATAGAAGGAAATCCATTCCAAGCATTTTATACTGTTTAGGTTTATAAAATCCAATTTTTGACACTGATTTATAGATTTTTTTTAATCTTAAAGGAGGCAGATTAGATCTTTTTCCAAATAATAGTATGCCAAGTGGAAGATCAAACAGATTCCTGACAAACCTAGAAGACAACTTTGTCTCCCAAAAAGTAGAGAAGGGAACAAGGGGATTAGCCATTTTGGATCTAATTCTCACTAACAGAGATGAAATGATAGGTGTTGAAGCAACAGGAACCTTGGGAGGTAGTGATCATGCAATATTGGAATTCAACATTATGGAAGCACAAGCAATAGAACATAGTCAAATTAGAGTCTTGGACTTCAAGAGAGCTAATTTCAATAAACTTAGAGAGGGCTTGGGAAGGAGTCCATGGATGAGAATCCTCCAGGGGAAAACAACTCAAGAAGCTTGGGAAATTCTGAAAAGCGAGATAATAGAAGCCCAGTCTAGCACAATACCAACAAAGAGGAAAAATAACAGCTCTCAAAAGAAACCAGTATGGCTGCATAAAGAACTCTCTGATAAATTGAAAGATAAAAAGGACAAGTGGAAAGTGGAAAGAGGGGCATATACTGTAACTAAATCAGAATATCAACAAATAGCCCGAGCCTGCAAAGATGAAGTGAGGAAAGCTAAGGCTCATAGTGAACTAAGGCTTGCGACCAAAATCAAAAATAACAAAAAAAGTTTCTTTCAACATGTAAAAAACAAGAAAAAAGTGAAGGAAAGGATTGGTCCATTAGTGGCTGAAAGTGGCAAGAAGGTGACAAGCAATAGGGAGAAAGCAGAACTATTTAATTTATTTTTTGCATCTGTCTTTACACAAAGGGAAAAAACAGACCAACCTATCAAAAATAGTGCCATAAAAAACAGTATAGAAACACAAGTTAAGATAAGCAAGAAAATGATAAGTGATCACCTGTCCAGCCTAGATGTTCAAATCACCAGGACCAGATGGATTATACCCCAAGGTTCTCAAGGAACTGGCAGATGTGATCTCAGAACCACTGAACTATATTTTTCAAAGATCTTGGAGCACCAGAGGACTGGAAAAGAGTTGATATAGTTCCCATCTTCAAAAAA